AGTTCCAGGCTAGCCTGGTCTATACAGTGAGCTCTAGGCTAGCTCAAGCTACATAATAAGACCCCCCCCCAACAAACAAAACAACAAAAACAGTGCAGAAAGATTGAAAAAGACAGTCGACATCAACCTCCAGTTTCCATGTGCACACACATGTATGGGTCCTGCACACACATGTATATGTATACATACATACACAAAAACTGAACTTCAGGCTTGCTGAGTATAACTACAATCCCAGGATTCATGAGGCCGAGGCAGCAGATTGCTCTGAGTTTAAGGCCAGCCTGGACTGCAGAGTGAGTTCTAACCAACCTGAGCTAAACAGCAGCAGGCAGGCAGCTTCTGAGCCTGACAATAGTGGCCACTCATTAATTTCCAATGTGCTTCCACACATTATAATACCTGAGCACCAGCACCCCTTCCCAGGTGAGGGAGCTGGAGCCCCCACTGTACCCCGAGTCCTATGCCTTACCTCACAGCTGCGGTAGCGCCTGTTTACTTGAGATGTCTTTCTGCGTAGACTGGCTATCTGTATAGATCAGGCTGGCCCTGAGCTTGCGGAGTTTTCCTGCCTCTGCCTCTGCAGTGTTGGGGTTCAGGTGTATACAGACTTATCTGGCTCCTTGTACTGATGCCCCCGAGCTTCTCTGGAAGCAGTGGGTTCCTCCAAGTCTCAGTCTCTGTAGGTGCCATCTCAGAAGCAGGCACACGTGGGCATCAGTAGGTGCCATCTAAGAGAATCTGGGGTCTTCGAGGCCCATCTGGTCCACTCTGTTCTTTGTTTTCCCAAGACCATCTCTTTCATTTTTCTTTGTGACAGGGTGTCACCATGATGCTCAAGCTGCTATCAACCTCTGGGGCTCAAACAATCTTCCTGCTTCAGCCTCTGGAGTAGCTGGGATTACGACATATACCACCCATTGGGTTCTTCTTTGTTATCCTTCAATATTTTTCAAAGGCTTTTGGAAAATAACTGACAGCTAAAGATTCTTCAGGCCCAGCTGTCTTCCTGGATTTGTACTGTCCCAAGTGTGCAAGGGGCTGGAGCTGGTCCAAGAGGCTCTGCATGTAGGACCTGGAGGTACTCTGTTGGAGCCCAGGGTCAGCACCATGTAGGCACCACAGCTTGGGTAGGGTTAGGTCCAACTCCTAGGGCTTTGCGAAGCCCCTCCCCTGAGCCTGGAGGAGGGGGCAGAGGGCTGGGTTAGCAGGGAGGAGGCTAAGCAGGAGGAGCCAGCCCACTACGTTACGTTACGTTACTAGAAGTCTTAAGTACAACCAGATGTCCAGGGACTTTCCGATCAGGCCCAGCCCCAGAGGGCAGAGCAGGGGCAGGGGAACTTCTATGCAAACTGGTTTTCCAATTCCCCACCCTGTCCTCCGTTTGTAAACTTTGAAAGAGAGGGGAGACTTCCTGTGGGTTTCCAGAGGCTGATGTGTGAAGAGGGGGCGGGCCCTGCAGGGGAGGGTCCTGCGGCTCCTCGGAGCAAGCAAGCTCTTGGAAGCAGAGGTCTGGACACAATCCCCAGAACCCAGTGGCGGAGAGACCTTAAAGTGTGCCGAGATGGAGTTAACTGACTCAGCAGGGTTTCACAGAGGAAAGCTAACTGAGTTGGTCCTGATGATTGAATAGGAGTAGAAAAAGAGAATTCTAAAGATTCACAAGTGTTCAAATAGCACGGTGTTACTGAATTCTGTGGGAGAGAGGTATAAAGAGGGATCAATTCAAGGTGCTGTGTCAGATGCAGGGGTAGCTACAGCAGTATCTAGAGCAAACTGAGGCATATGAGTGCTAGGGTCCCCCCCCAACCCCCGAGAGAGGCAGGAGGAGGTGAAGGGGGATCTGGGAGAGCCTGACATATAAGTGAATCTGAAAGGGAAGAGTACAGTTTCTAACTCCCACAGAGGTGCCTAGAGGCTCTCGGACTGGCAGTGGGGGTGCTGGCCCAGACCCATTCCGGGGGCAGGGGAGGACTGGACTGGATGACAAAGCCGGTGTATGTTTAAAAACAGCAGTGGGGTGGGGCATGGGTGGGAGGGCTTTGGCAATGGGGGACACTTTGGCAGCTGGGCCTTGATGTCCAAACCCCCAAATCCCAAAAGGCTGGCACTTCCATCTGTGGACAGAGCAGCCAGAGCCCAACCAGAGGCAAGTTCCTGCAGCAGTCAGTGGGGTGTGGGCTGGTGGGGTGTGGTGTCCTCTGGGCACACTCCCTGTCCCCTCAGCCAGGACATGCTTCCTTCCTTTCCTGCCCACAGTGACTCCTGAGGGGCTAGCAGAGGACCACAGAGAGAGCACCCTCCCTTTCCTCTTCCTCTCTTCCATTTCTTTCTGCTTCCTCCCTCCACCCATCCTTCCCTGGGGCCTTTTTCTTTTCTTCCTTTCTCCACCTGCTCCTGCCTTCTCTAGGCCTGGCTCTAGGCCCTAGCCCTCCTCCCTCCCACTAAATCCCTTCCAAGTGGGTGTATAGCATTCTTCGTTGTTTTCGGAAAGCCCTTGATGCCCATCTCTAGGCCAAGATGGCACCCACTCACTCCCCCACACGTGCACACACACACACTTACACGAAGCTGCTGTCATCCAGCCCCACACCAGACACAGCCCCTGCTCCTGGGATGGGTAGCAGTGGGTACTCCACCTTGGAAGTAACAGAAGTCAAATGATCGCAGGAGGATGGCAGGCCCAGAAGAGCTATGCATTTGCTATCATTACCACTATTATTATCCAATCCATTGTGGGCACTTGACCTGCCCTGGGAGGCTCTCAGTGACCTCAGCAGGGGGCCTGCAGGGCACAGATCCATTGCCTGAGGGCAGTTAGGAGAGGGGTCAAGCAGGAGCCCTCAGAGATTAGCCCCCCAGAAAGGCCAAGAATAGAGATAAGTTGAAAGGCCATTTGCCAGGACTGAGTGGGTGTCAGCTTTGAGGTGATGTATTAACAGACCTTAATGAGCTCGGGGAAGGAAAGTGATACTTCATTGCCTGGACTCTGGGACAGGATGTAGGTGAAGGAGGCAAGCGACCAGGCTCCCCCCACCTGCTAACTAGAGTCCTTACTGTGACCCACGGCCACCTGAGAGTAAGACCTGTCTGGTACTGAAAGATCCGGTCTTACCTGTAGGGCCTCTAAGGCTTCTGCCACATGCTGAGTGATCAGCCCTGTGAGGCTTGGGCAAGCTTTCCTGAGATTCTTGCACTGGACTGGGAGACCTGTGTCTCTAGGTAGACCTGAACATTCCTTCCAGGTGGTGCCTCAGAGGAAGCCCCCTCCTGTCACCATCTCAACCCGAAACCTGGTGCAGTATGGTCCCGGGGATACCCATTGTCACGGCCAGCTGGGCTTGGCATCCTGGCACAGTTCCAGATGGCTGAGGCGGCTCTGCTCCTGTGGACATTGGCCTCTTAAATCAGCCTCTGGCCCTCAAGCACTGTGAGGAAGGAGAATGGGAGTGTGGTGGGTCCAGGTCAGGCTTTGCTGAGCCCCTCCCCCCAAAGCCTCAGCGGTCCCAACAGGAAAGAGACTGCCATCAAGGAGCTCCTTGTTAGTCAGTTCCTGCCCTGCTGACTGGTGACAGGGGCGGTTTGCACCCTGCCTCGATCATCATGATGCTAGGGACCTCCCCAGCACTCTTGAGTCCTGGTGCATCCCTGATCTGTGGCAGGGTGTGTGTGGGAAGGTATGGGGTAAGAATGGGAAGGTGGGATACAAACTGGAAAATTCTGGGACTGGAAAAGCCCCTGGTCTTGATGAGTTTCAGAACTTTGTTGGATGTTGGTCTTATTTACATATTTGGCTATAAAAAATGGATGATTGGAGACCCATGCCTTCCCTTTCCCTGGCAATTATGGAGCTGCCTGGATCTGTGGGATGCCAGAGTGTCCAGAGGCATGGTCACTGGTGTTTGCAGTTCCGTGACAGCGACACAGAGGCCAGCGGAAGGAGGAAGCCCCTTCAGGGTGAATCCTGTCCTGCCAATGCTCACACTGACCAGCCACGCGGAAGGAAAAGGAAGCCTCAGAAGAGAGGCAGAGCCCTGAAGCGCTACCCACAGGCGGAAAACGATTGCCACAGAACCTCTGGACGCCCTGGGCTCCTCTAGAGCCTCCACCATAAGTGCAGCGCCCGTGCTCAGGGCCCCTAAGGCCGAGGAAATCTTGGCCTTTATCATCACGGAAGCTTTGAGATGCCTACCTAAAACTGTGCCTACTCTAGACTGGGAGTGCCAGTGCTTGGCACAATGCAGTTACCCAGTGCATATGCTGCAGTGCAAATGCCACTGGTCACCAGTGGTGGCTGGGGCTCCTTCAGTCCGCGCCGGTGGGCCCAGGGTGACCGTCGTCTCCTTGGGGGAAGCTCTCCAGAGCTTTCTATAAGCCCCTCCCCTAAGTCCATCTGCTCTTCAATCCAGGGCTCGGTCTTCTGTACACTTCCCACCCCACTCGTTCGGCGGCACCTGTGCAGAGACAGTGTCCTCGCCTGGCTTGTCCGTCCTGCCCTGGGCATCCTGCAAGCTATAGGTGCTCTGCACACCCGGGCCAGGGACGCAGGCGAGAGTCCACATGCGTCTGGAAGAGGTGGTCTTGGCCAGCCAGCGGACGGGGCGGGCCCGGTCAGCAGCCTTCCCCTTTGCCCTTCGACCCAGGAAGCGGCTCACAGCCAGCGGCCACTCACGGCAGCCTGGAGCTCTACCCGGGTCTCCGCGCCCGTCCGGCCTCCCCGGCCTCCCCGCCTCCGGGCAGGGCCTCCACCCCCAGCGCAACTTCCCGCTCCGACGGCAGGGGAGGCGGGAGTGGGCGAGCGGCCTGAGAGTGGCGCAAGGACACTCTCACACCGAGGGTCATTTGCTCTTTTTACCCCGGTGGCTAATTTATTTTCGAGCCGGGAGAGGGGGAGGCGGGGCGGCGGGGGACGCGCTGAGGGGCCGGGCGAACTGGGGCGGGGGCGGGGGCGGGGCGCTGGGAGGGGCGGGGCACGGGCCCGGAGGGAGGGCACTGGGGGCGGGAGAGGGGAGGAGGGGGGGGGGTCCTGCCTGCGGGGGGAGCCTGGGCCGCCCCTTGTCCGGCCACCCCCACTGTCCAGTCCCGCTCCCGGCCGCGGCGGCCGCAGCAGCCGCAGCAGCAGCGGCCCCAGGATGGTGAGCGCCGCTGACCCCCAGCCCTGGCCCGTCGCCCCCGGCCCGCGCTTCCGCCCCGGTCCTTGGGCCGGACGCCCCCCCAGGCCGCGCACACTCACCTAGGACCCGGCCGGGATGCCGAGGTACGCGTCGCAGGCCCGGGCGGGGACAGGCGCGGGAGTGCGCGGGCCGGCCGGGGGTCAGGGGGTGGCGACTGTGCGGTCCGATGTCCGGAGCTTTGTCCGCGGGCGCGGGGCCGTGCGAGGCTCGGGAAGGGCGGGGGACCGAGGAGCAGGGGGGTCTAACTAGGTGGAGGTCGGAGGGCAAGGCCGGGAGAGACCAAAGCGGGTGCGTGGGAGCCCAGGGTCATTTCCCGGGAGGAAGGGGGCGACCAGGGATGGGATCGCCGTTCGGCCGCCGACGGGCACCCGCTTCTCCTCCCGGTCTGGAGCGCGGCGGTGGTGGTAGCGAGCGGCGGGCACTGGGGAGTCTGCGGGCTCGGGGAGAAGGAGCCAGGATTTGCGGGTTCGGGTCCCAGAAGGATCCGGCGGCCGGAGCCCGAGGGCTGGCCCGCAGGCCCCTCCCACTCCGTCAGGTCTTTGTCCAGCGGCCCCTGTGTGTGCGGGAGGGGGTGGGGGCTGGGTTACTGCCCTGGAGATTCCCCAGCATCGTGACGGGGCAGTGACAGGAGACTGAGGCCATTTCTATCCCTGCGCCCTTAACGCACTCGCCTTTCGCCTTTCGTTTCTCTTCAGTCCGGGTCTGCAGTCCCAGCTCAGAGTTGGGGTGTTGCACGAAGCTGCGCTTACTTTCACCCGTGGGCCATTGGTTACCCTGAGCCCCCCGGAGTTCTCAGTTCTAGCTAGAGCCCCTTAAACTTCCCCACTCCTAGAGCCCTCTTCTGGTCTTTGCAGAGATTCCCAATTCCAGACCCCCGTAGATTGTTGGGCGGGCACACAGTAAGACCTTAATAGATATTGGCTCCCTCCCGGACCTTTCTGGTCCAGTGGTTCCTGCTGGTCTGTGGAGCGTTCTGCGCTGGAGAGAGCGAGAGCAGCCTGGAGCCTGCGCCCCGCGGTGGCCCGGAGTGCAGGGGTGGGTGGGCGGGTGGGTGGGCTGTTAAGGGGATGGTCACTAAATCAGGATTAGGCCATGGGGCTGTCAGGCTGCCGGCCCAGTCTCCATGGATACCTAATTTGGAGGAGAATAGAGGACCGAAGAATGTTTGTGTTGTCCTCACGGCAGTAGAGGCGGAGCAGGCTCCGGCTCTCAGTCCGGCAGCTAGGAGTGGGGAGTCTGCTCCCATCCCTCCCTGTTCTGGGTTTAGAGTCAAGGGACTTCTCAGTGTCCCGGGGTTTGACACCTTCGCCGGAGAGTCACTCTGTATTTGGAGTGGTCCTGGATGCGGGAGTTGCGAACCCTCCCCAGTGTCACATCCGAAACCCCTGAGCATCCTTTAGGAACCTTGGGTGCCCCAGAACCTCCAGGTCTGGTTTGAACCGCATTCTCTAATGGACTTTAGCCCTTTCCTCCCAGGGACAGCCATAATGCCCAGCAAGGCGGTGCCGAGCTGCAGCACCCCAGAATGAGAGCGGGTATTAGGCGCCCCGAGCTGCGGGCAGGGGGCGGGGCGGTACTTTCTCCAGTCGCCCGAAGAAAGGGGAGGATCTTACTTGGACGGCTCTGGAGGACTGTGTGACAGGCCTCGTAAATCCCCTTTACCCATATTTAACACCATTTCATTTATTTCCACTTGATTCCATTGGTGTGCGCAGCAGCCAGAAGCGACCCTCATTGCCCTTGATTCCATTGGTGCCCGCTGCGGCCAGAAGCGACCCACAGGCCCTTACTGTACTGTCTTCTAGGGGAAGCCCTTTTTGAGTCAACGGAAATTGTAATGCAGGATTGGAGTTGTTCCTGGAAGGCCCAGTCCTCAGGACTTCTCAGTCTCCCGAGGAGGAGGAGAGGGAGGGGCCCGAGTGACACAGGGATGGTGCAATGGGCCTCCAAGGTCCTGCATAGTCTTTGGCTCTGGTGAAGAGAGTAGCCAGATTAAAGATCACCTAGTTAGACAGCTCCAGTACACAACCCAGATCAAGGCAGGGAAAGGGAGGGAAGAGAGAGGAACCCAGGCACCTGTGTGGTGTTCCAGCGTCCATTCCTGCCTCCCTCCTGGTCATCCATGGCCATAGCTTTTTATGGATCAGGAGCCCCTCCCCTCCCCTGCCTGACTGCAGCTTTATTGCTGAATCTCAGGCTCTCCACGCAATTTCACGCCTCTCTGCCTCTGCTCCTGCTGTTCCTTCAGCCAAATGCCTTCTCCATTGTCCCGGTCTTACCACAACCTCCTCATTCTTCAAGGCCCAGCTAGGATGCCACATAACCCCCCCTCCAGTGTAGCCTCCCTAGAGTCCCCAGCTCTTGTCACTTGTCCCTCCCTTCACAGCCTCCTTGCCCTGCACCTGTGCCTTCCTTCCACTGTGATGGATCCCAACTAGTCTTTGCGCCAGGAGGCAGCAAACCCACTATGGCCCCTGACCCACAGTGGACTTTTTTTTGTGACCTTTTGGGTGTCTGTGTGGGTGAGGAAAAGGAGTTTTGTGACGAATTTAACCAGGTGGTCTGCAGATCCTGGACTCTTGTCATTCCTCCTGGGTGGTGGGAACCCCTGGGTGGCTCTGCTTCTCCTTTCTTTCTCTCCTATCCCCCTCCTCCTCCTTGATGACCCTTCCCACCCCCCCCAAGTCCAGGGAGGACTTTGCCCCTTCCCTTCCCCACAGACCAGCATTCCTTCCCCATCACTATCACCCTGTTAAACAGAGAGACCAGTCAGATCCGTATGGGGCACATTAACAATTGCTTATTATCTGGCCGGACTCCCCCACTCCTCACCACTGGTCCCTACTGCTGCTACCCTGCATCCTGAGGAGTCCTGCCCTCCCTTCCCCCACCGCTGGTCTTGGAGGAGGTCAGGGGACAGGTTGGCTGGCTGCCCTTTCCCTCCCTGACCCCTCTAGCTGAATTTTGCCTCTTCTCGCCTTGGCACCAATGACTTCATCACCTCACTTAATGGAAACCAGGCTCCACACAGGAGCCTGGCTCAGGAAAGGCCCAGGGCTGCATCCTGGAAGGTGACCAAGGACCAAGGCCTGGCATACCTTTCTTCTGTTGCCTTGAGCGCTCTTGCCTGCCAGTGGATGGAAGTCAGAGGCAGGGGTGAGCCGTATTCACCTGAAAGCCTTGTCCTGGTCTACTCTGCTGTCTCCCGGGAGCTAGAGGTCTTAAGAGCTGTGTGACACCAAATTTTAGGGCTTTCCCTGCAAAGAATCAAGAAATAGGACCAGAGTATCGATAGACATGAGGGCTCACAATCTAACCCTGGCACTAACGAGGCTGAGACGATTACCACGAGTTCAAAACTAGCCTTGGTTACATAGTGAGTTACATATCATTGTGGGTCACAGAGTGAGGCCTTGTCTCAAAACCCAGCATCACCACTGCTAAAAAAGGGCCAGGATGTAGCTCAGTGGTACAGTGTTTGATGATACCACCCACCCCCAAAAGACAACAAACTGAACATAACAAGAAATCTAATGGTGTTTCCTGGGGCCACCGCTGAGCTGCAGAGAGGCAGTGGGAGAGTAAGGCTTCTGCTTAAACACATGCACCCAGATAGTCTAGCTGGAGGAGCCGGACCTTCAGGATGACCGCTTCTGGGGGTCCCCTGACTGTAGATAGCTCAGGAGTAGATGCTGGTTAGACTCTACAGGTCCTGGGTTGAATTCTTGGCCACTGGTGGAGGGGGCAGAGCCAGCAAACTGTGGGTCTCCACTCTTTGTTTACAGAGTCCTCAGGGAGGATAGTGAAGGTGTCCCCAGAAAAATGCATTGTCATTACCTGACATTACCATACTTCATCTTCCCCTTTAAGATCTTCCCCTTTAAGAGCTCTTGAATCCTGAGGCTTCTCCAGTCCAACCCCTCTGGGGCTCTGAGGCCAGGGTCTGGCCTGCAGCCTAGGTCTTCTGACATCCTTGCTGGGTTTGTTACTGGCAGGGGACTGTGTGAGCCGCAGGGCAGGCATGGGGATTGCCGGGACAGTTTTCAGTTTTGAGGGGTCACACTGCTCCCCATCTCGGACTGTGTGGCTTGGGAAGAAGCTAATGGGAGATTTTTATTGCTTAAGGGTCCACTTGTCTTCAGGAAGAAGAGGCAGAGAGAAAGCTCTTCTCAGCACTTCTGGACGCGGGCAGCTGTGGGAAACTCCTGTAGCACTTGGGAAGCACTCAGTTCCCCTTGGGTCTTGGGTTGTGAGCAGAGAATGGCATCTATGCTTGAACAAGCAGCGTAGTAAGAAGTGAATGAGGCCAGAACAAGGGGACAGCTCTAGTCGTGAATGACCCAGTCCACGAGGGCTGTGATTACAGCGAAGGCGATTTCTGCTGACTGGTGCGGTTGGCACCTTGCTACCCTCCAGTTCTGAACCGTGGCAGCTTTAGACTCCAGCTGCTAACTGTAGGTGGGCAGGAGTTCCTAATGAAAAGTTGTGCCCAAGTTCAACCCTATTTCATTTTTGTTAATGTATTCTTTGCAGTATTGTAGCTTGGACGTGGGCCTCGTACATGCTGGAGCGGAACTCTGTCCCCACAGCCCAACCTTAGTTTGTGTTGTTGGTCCCGGACCCTGCTCTAAGGACAAGCCTCGGGTTGTAGGGACTCTGCCTGTGTAACCCTGGGAAAGTGACATCTGCGGTGGTCTGTGTCATAGTCTCAGGTTATTTGTGAGCTGGGGACAGGAGCCCCACGGAGATGCGGGCCTCTTTGTCTATGCACTATTGCCCATCTCTCGGGATGCTCAGTGCCTTGGAGCCCAGGCACTCCAAAGAACCACCTCCCAGGGCAGGAGGAAGAAGATGCATGACCGATGTTCTGGCCTCACAAGGCTTGTGCGCACCACCTCTGAAACTCCAGAGGCAGCATCAGGATAGAGAACATGGCTCAGGAAACAGGCACGCAGGGGAGCCAGCATGGCTCCCACAGGAACTGGGCTGACAGACGCCTGCCTTCTTTTACCTCATTCAGTGCCTGGCACCCTTAGGCTAGTGACAAGATTAGTCATTGACACAAGGAAGAAACTACATTTCA